CTTAAGCGTGTTTTTAGGCGTTTTAGGGCACTGCTCACTCAGCTGAGAGTGAGAAAAAATACTCAGCAATGACGGACTCGATTTATTTGACGTGGACGTTTTAGCATACATAAGAAAGCCTGTGTTTTCGGGTGTGTTTCACGATCCATTGACATCGCGCGTGAGAGAGGAAAACACATTTAAAAGTCTGGAAATTCGTCTTCACTTCAACTCAGACGTTTAAAACAATCGATACATTCTCAGTTCCGAAATTCGTTGTCGGTCTATCTTGCCATTGGTGTCGCTTTCCCTATTTCGCTGGAGTAGTCTGTCATTCGTTGCCAATTCAAAGCTCTCATGTCGCCATTTCAAGGCCACGTTGCTTGTCGGAATTTAACCCTAACAGGGCCTCCTTTATATATAGTTTAACCCAGGATTTTAACTTCTCTATTATATGGGAAACCTTTTTACCGGCTAGGTCCACCCTCCTTTCAAATAGATACTGTGGTTGACATTAAGTCAAAAGGATGTGTCTTGGCAGTGAGCAAGATATGGATGATTGTACTTTTCCTTAATTCTTATAATTAAAACTAGATATGGGTTTACTAATGTTTCTGATATACAAGATTTGAAAAGAGCCTATCCTTTACTAGACATGGTGGATAGAGAAACAAGATATGACAATGCTAATGTATGTACAGTGCTAGTACAATTTTAGAATTATTTGTTAATCAAAATGTTTTATTTATTGAGTAATAGAATGCAATAGAGTGGTTTTTATTTGAGTGTCAAAATGTAATATTGGTTTTGCACTACTATGCTACATGATTACATGGACCTTAAAAACCTCACGTCACTTTTTTGTCTAATCAGAAGTGAGACCAAAACCAATTACTACCGACTCAATTGAACGCGTTTTCCCATACTAAGTGTCAGTTTCATCTATTTACTTTGAGTTTTGATTGGTTCACTGGACTGGGGTTTGGACTGGCTCTGCCCTTTGTGATTGGCTGATTGAGTGATTAGGTGCTGTGGTTCTGGTTTTATGGCACTCAAAAATTATTGAAAACCATTCTATAAAACAAAGTATTATTCTATACGGATTTGTATTACCAGACTGTCTCACCATATCAAGCACACCCTAATGGCTTGTTCCAATCTTTCTTCATTTCAGCTTGATAATGCTGGCAAAGAATTTCCACCCATTGAAGGTATAGTGCAACCTGTCCTTACTGCCACCTCATTACTGGACACATTTTCTTTCTTTTAGGAACAAGGACAAAAGTTTATTCAGTAATGTTTTTAGTTAGAGTCCTTAAAAAAAAATGACAGGAATTTTGGTGGTGCATTGGTGGTCAGATTGATACAATATTTCATGGTCTCATTGTGGGTGAATACATTTGCATGTATAGGGAAACTTAGCCCGAGAATCACAATTTAGTAACTTTGCAGTAATAACTTTGTTCTCCCTTCAGGACAGTAGAAAGAGTCAAAGATAACTAAAAGACTGTTGAGTTTTTTTGAAATCCAGACTTACATGTACATGTATTGCCTTTCTATTTTCCTCTTCACTTTATAGCTGTGCTGTTACTTGGTGAGGCAGTAAGATGGGAAACAAATCTGCAGTTAATTATTGATCTTCTCATCACAAATGGTCGTCCATATTCCAGTCCAGTTTCCCCACCAAAGGAACACATTCCTGTCATTGTAGCAAACACTGATTTAATCTACATGTCAGAAGCTCCCTTAGCCAGGTATTAAATCAATTGTAATTATTATTTTTGGTAGGGTTCCTGCAATCTTGATAATCTACTTTTCCTCAAATTACCACAACTCTTATCACCCGAGACCTACTCCCATCTGGCCTCCCCATAGATCAGTTGGTAGAATGCTCAAGGTTGATCTAATCTAATCCCATGCGTAGATATAGTATCACTGATGACTGATTTCCAAAACAACAAGCACCAAAGATAAAGACATCTAGACTAGGAGGGATCCAGGTTATCTTCCCCAGGGAAATATTTTGGATTGTAACTCCCTAAAGTCTCCTTACCTGGGTATCTAACCCTCTCTGAAAAATCTGAATGATTTCGATAAAGTGGTGGAAACCGGTAAGGATCTGCTCCTGTGGCCTTATTATCCAAATAATATATTAATTTATTGTTATATTTTAATCATAGATTTGGTCATGGTGCTTTCTTGCTGAGCCTGGAAAATCTTTACAAGGTGCAGTTGTAGTAAATTTACGTACATGTTTAATCATTATCTCCATAATGCTTTCAGTCCTCAGAGCATAAACTAATACTCAGGTTCAAGATCAGTGAATTATTTTGTCCATTCTGCATTGTGGATGTGTGGTGTTCATTATCATTATTAATTTTATCTCCACACATTAGATAGGGAAGACTTCTCTAGATCGATCAAAATGTCGTTAAAAGTGCATTGAATTTGATTTGCTATAAGTGATAATCGACTATTTAGCTGTATGATGTTAATACAATGTGCATTTTCAATTTCTTTTTCAGAAATTGACTGGTCAAGAATTAATTTACACAGAGTTCTTGGGCAAGCCTTATTTGACAAACTACCAGTATGCAGAATATTGCCTTAACCAAAACAATGGAGGCACATCAGGCAACATAAAATCATTATATGCAGTTGGGTAAGTATGTACATGTACTTGGCTATAGTTTTTCTCCGAGTGCTCTGGTTTTCCTCCCTTCACAAAACCAACATCTCCAAATTCCAATAACTTTGACCGGACTAGAGGACACAAATGAAAACCAGCTAAGGCCAATGTATTTTCAACTCTGAACATTGTAATTTTTTAACTACATTCATGTAATACTTATGTGGTTTTCTGGTTTCTGAGTTTGCCATGGTATTTCCTTATGACTTTAAAATTATGACTTTATAATTATTATTAAGTCATAATTTTAAAGTCATTATAAAGAAATGCCATGGCAAGCTTGAATGTTTGATCTTTGAAATGCTGTGGATCAAGGAGAAAAGACCAGAACTGAACACGCAAATGGATTTCATTCGGGCGAAACTTTATACCTGAATCCATGTCACCTTTGCTTATGTATTTCCTCACATCCTAATTTCTATAAATATGCCTTGCTATTATTTTTAATTAGACAGTGATGACCTGAAGTCGTCGATATGTCATGTTACTTTACTTTCACCAGTTTTCTTGCTTAAAAAAATTATAAAAGCCACAAATTTTAAACTTGTGACTGTCAGTGCAATGAAGTCAAAAACTTTCAATCAATTGTTTTTTTGTTTTCTTTTCTCAGAGACAATCTGGATACAGACATTTATGGAGCAAATTTATGCCATGAGTACTTGAAGGTATTTCATAAAACTAGTGGAAACAATGGTGAAAAACAACTGAAAAGCTCCTGCCATCAGTCAAAACAAAATGGGATTAACTGGTTGCCTGAAGTAAAAAGCGTAGAATCTATTTTAGTTCAAACTGGAGTGTCACAGCAAGATGACAGCAAACTCACAAATGGCGATGGAGCAAGATTTCTACATCGTGACACTGTCTATCTTCCTCATTTGAGAAGGGCAAATCATGTCGTGGAAAATATTGCTGAAGCAGTTGAACTCATTTTAAAACAAGAACAAGAAAGTTCCGTTTGACTACAACGGTGTGTTATATGATGTTGCTGTGTGACATTTTTGTTTTGTTACTGCTGTGTATATCAATATTACATGGGCCTCTGAGTTATGTCAGGGTATTTGAAGTAAAATATTTGTTCTAAAGCTAATTTTTGTGAGTGCTGCATAGGCTTGTCTTTGAATCCCAATTGGACTTCATTAGGCTTAAAAAAGCTCCCTTTATTTTGAGGGAAAAAAATTGAATGAATGTGATACATTTTCTGGACACTGTACATTGGATCCCAGATCCAATACAACTATTTATATTAGTTTTTTAGCAACTGAGATATTATGTTCATGGTTGTTTTAACCACGTACATGTTCATATGTCAGACTGCTGAAAGTTTAGCCAAAGTTTGCTTAAAATCCACCATTTTTTATGACTAAAATACAGTATAGTGGTCACTGAAGCATATGTTGTAGTTATTGTACATCTCTAAATACAGTCAGAAGGCTTGACAAGGTACATGTAAATTAGCAATCATGTTTCACTTTGGATTTTTTTGAAAATACTTGAAATCAAAGTTAAAGATGTCACATATCAATAGTCTTAATTTTATTTATTTACAGCAAATATTAGAAAACTATTCCATTTTGTGAAGAATCTGAAAATTAACTTGGATTGAAAGGCAACGTTTTTATTCTTTTAACCTCGACTGCAACCAAATTAGTGTAAAGTAGAATAATTATTTGTCATTTAATATACTGTTGTGTGTACTTAACAACATTTTAAAGATTATTTCAAGCATATTATTTATCAGGAAAGAATCCTGCAAAATCAATCATTTTAGGTGTCAGTCTGTCTCTAGGTAAACATGTTTATCAATTTTTATGAATAACTCAGTATTATTATCACAACAATAACATATACCCATGGCTAGAACATTATTCAATTTGTTACAACATTAACAATGTTAGCATTCCTGAGGAACATTCGTTTTTGCTGAAATAGTATAAATATATTCTCAATTTATTCTCAATTTAATAGATTTCCACTGATATTGTGTCAAGTGGAAAAGGTATTGTTATAGAGGTTTTGCATGGCAACCATGTTGCACGGCAGGAACAATGGACACTTTCTCCTATGGGGAAAAAATGTTCTTTCTAATGCAAAACATTTTCATTGCTCCTGCCATGCAAAACCTCTATGGTTACATCTCTTTAATATATACTTGAATGACTATTACATTTGACTGTCTATAGACTGGGTTTTTAGATTTCATGCATGGGATGTAAGTTTCTTTTTTTAATCTATTGAATGTGTATAGTATATAACATTAGACTTAAATGCATATTTACTGATATTAATGTCTTAGTCTTGAAAGAAATCAACTTGAAATCTTGTTTCCTCAGGAAGAATTTTTATTTTACAGGTATATTCACATGTAATTTTTATTTATTTATTGCATTGAGTTTGATTATACCACTTAGCATAAGAAGCAAATAACAAAATATTAATATCCTGTGTTTATTTTTGAGGGGGGTGAAATTGTTTCTTTTTAGTATCATTTTGCCATTTGGAATTTTTTGAGTAGGAAAATGACTGACTGGGCTTTTGTTTGGGCCAGAATAAAGGCCCTATAAATGGGTTGGCTGTAAGGTGGGGATCACTGTAGTAAATTCTTTAGATGCCTGACAAATGTGTGAAGTGTCGAAGTGAATAAATGAGTGAGACTAACAAATATATGAATTAAACTTTTAATGTGTGTCGTGGAGTTAACAGACTTATAAACGAAATATCAATAACTCAATACACATGCAACAAAGCTCATTGGTTCAAGATTTGTAAAAAAAATTATGACTTTTGTTACTCCATTTGTTTGCAATATCAATTGTAAGAAGTTGGTCATACATCAAGACCATCTGTACTGAAGCTGTTGATTTTCTTCTCATCACCTGCCTGTGTCCACACATTTCAGGACTAACCATTTAACGTTCTATAGATAAAAGTTGCAAGATTCTTATGCAATGTTCACAGTGGTTTCCATCCTACATCCCAAACTAAACATCCTGTTTTCCAGTATGATCTTTGCTATTAATTTAATTTTGTATGTATTTAGGCAAAATGACCACCAATTAGCAATGAGTGTATAAAATGCTCTACTAACGGAACCTTTTTGCATATTTAAAAAAAAAGGTTTGTGCTCACTTTTCACACTTATCATCATGTACCTCTTATAACATCCAAGTTGCCATGGAGATTAAATCTTTATGGAAAAGAATTATTGTTTGAACCCTAGGACTCAACTTTAGTCTTAGGCTCTGTCTTGTTTGGTATACTTAGAACACAACATTGTGTCTAAGATTCTAAACAAACTTACTTTGCAACTTTGTTAACTTATGCTCTGATGTTAAGATGTGAGCAATGGCTGTTTACAAACCCCCTGTGTTTTGTTTATTTTAAGAAAAATTCTCTCCTGAGAACAGGAAAAGATCTGTCAAGTTTCTTAAGTACAAAACTTAGACTCTGTCATAAAAAGATGCTCTGATCACCAGGTTAGGAATCCCAGGGGAACTGTATTAATTCAGGGACTGTATCCCTCTGTTTCACATCAGCTAAATTTTGTGACTTGGAATCCATCAGGTCCTGGTTGGGATTAGAGACTGCGTGACGGGCGCCCAGAATGTCTGCTTAGCAAAATGCACCAGTGTGTAAATTGATCTTAATCCTCGGTAAACTTTTAAAACCATCCTGCCTCTTTTCCATTGTTCTATTGTATATTTTTCAGATTTTCTTTCGATCTTTAGTCTGAATACCCTGATTAAAAATGAGACAGAGATACGTTTTATTCTATTCAGCGCGCGAGGCTGCCTAGCGGATATAAAGTTTTACATCATCTACCAGACTCTGTTACGCCGAGAATGGCGCAGTCTCGCATTGCGTGACTAACCGGCGACGACGTGCGCTCGATGACGTCATAAGTCGATGAGACAATAGATTGGCTATTTGTGTCACGGAAAGTTATGTTTCAGCCGTCAGTAAGTTTCAACGCAATGGACTTGATAGAAGCAATAGGCCAGTTGCAAGCAAACAGGGGATTCCGGTTTACACAACGGCATCGAAAAACGCTTCTGTTTTTTTTTTAAACCGTGTGTTCTTGCATGATTTTTGCAACTGTCTACATCTTCATTTATTTTAAAGTTCCAGATCGAAGAAACAGACAAAAGACCGCGAGATAATTTAATTTCAATTACTGTTAATAATGTTTTATTAAACTTTGGACACAAACAAACAAAAAACATTAATTTTGGTTCGCAATTCAATCCTACGATTCAATTTTTTAGTCTCGTAAATCATCTAGCTGTCTCGCATTTGGTGTTATTCTCATTTCTCGTCATTGCGTTGTCAATCGGACTGCGTATATGGCAAACTTTTCAATTCAACCCACACATGGTAGTC